AAATAATAATAGTTGATGAGAAAGGGTTATTAATATCTTTTATAATAGATTAGAGAACCGAATGAGAATTTTTGGGGTTCGAAAAAAGGGTAGGGACTTTGCCGCACAACAAGTGCGTATGATGAATATAAATAAATAGATTTGAAGGGACCGAAAGAAGAGGGAGGGTGTTTGAAGTGTGACTTGTTCCGAGTCAATAATATAAAAAAAAATTTTTTTTTTCTTGTAAACGAGAATCGCTAAACATACATATATGAGATGAAGAGCAGAGGATGATGGAAGAACATCAACCGTAATGTATCAGAAATTTAAAAGCTACACACATCAAACAAAAGTATGCAGGTAGTTTATTTAAGACATATCAAATTATATCATGTTTGACTCGAGAACAAATTTTTGGGAAATAGAATTTTGACCGACCTTTTATATAAAAAAAAAAAAAACACGAACAGTTATTTTGAGCAAAGAGTCGGCATAAAGACCGAAGTGAATGATTCTCAGCTTTAGTTTGATTCAGTTTAGTGCATCCCAAAGAGAAAAAAAAAGTTTTTAACCTGACTTTTGAATGAATGTAACACTAGAAAGATGCACATCGTGAAGACGTTTCGTTGGCGATGTTTTTTTTTTTTATTATTATTATGTATATATATATATATATATACTGTAGAACCAGATTTTTGTTTACAAATTATGAAAAGAAAGTTTTTATGTTACTTATAGTAACGATGTATATATTAATATTTATATTAATTAATTAATTTTCAAAGAAAAAAAAAAATTACATACATTAAATAATATATGAATAAATTAAAGTTATATATATTTTTTAATATAAACAAGTAGCTTCCGTGTAATGTTTAAAAAACACATCCCCTTCATGCTCCAATTTAATTTAGTTTCAATAATAGGTAAATCTACAATAAAAAAAAATAAAAAAAATACAAGTTTTTTTCCTACTATTTTCAACATGCCTGGTTGTTAATTTGGTTAGATTCGCTTAACGGATGCATGTTCACATTGTATAGAATGTAACATTCAACAGATCAAATAAACACAAACAAAAAATGCAAACACAACACACTTTCTATGATTAATTTATTTATTGATTGATTGGAAGCATTTACGCAACGACGACGCTCACATAATGACTTCAACCTTCATGCAGTGTTTCGCGTAAACGTTCTTGTCCAAGGCCTGGAGACGATCCTTGATTACTAAGGAGGGAAGGCTTAGTCAACCATTCAGGGATCAGAAACGACTTCAGAGGACAAACAGCTTGTCCGGACAAATCTGAAAATAACAATAATCGTCATCAACATAATAATAATTTATGCAAGACTGAATCTTGGAAGTTGCGTACTTTGGATGTGGTTTTTTTTTTTTTTTTTTTTTTGCTTTCCACACATTCACATGAATGGTGATGCATCTTTGTTGATTTTTGTAATAATGACATGCTTCAACTCACGACCAACCACGTCATTGTTGAACAACGATTCTTATTGCTTTTTCCAATTCCGGATAAATATTTTTCTCCCTTTGAATTTCTTTCCTCGTGAAGTCATGGGATCATGATGTTATTCCTCAATTGTCGAATTTATCTCATTCTCGCGCACTCTTGTTTTAAAGTGCACCCCAACAATACTCACTTCTCTCGGAAAACATTATTACATGGGACGACGACCTCGTGGTGACATGAAATGCAAATTACGCGTCGCAAAGATTACTCAACAATTTACGTTAAATTGTTGTTATACAAGCTTTGAGTAGGGTGATTTATACGAACGGTATTATTCTGCAGTCCATTATGTGAGCACATCATGCGCACGATTCGAGCAGCATGCCAGCACTCGTGCAGACGGATGCTCGACATACATCGT